TCAAGTGAGCAACTTGGGCACTTTAATTCACAAGGAGTTTCCACGGGAAGGTGCATTCCACGGGAAGGTGCTTTCCACCGGAAGGTGCTTTCCACGGGAACGTGGTTTTTCCACCATGCAGCTTTCAGGCCTAGAGAAACATTTTCATCATCTTATGTGTGATATGTCTCTCAGGGCTCTGGATGTCTTCGTAAGATTTGACTGGAGACTGCTTTTCTTGAAAATGAATGGGCATTTTCCTGCCCTCCACGCTCATGAGCTTCAAAGCCAGGGGGCCCAAGTTTACATATTCCTGTGTGAAGACACAAGAGGAGACGTAACTGGCAGGTGAGCCTGATAAAAGAGGGGTTCTTCCCCGGGGTTGCTCTACTGGTTGTGTGAACACTGTATCATATGTGGAACATGAAAGCCACCGCAAAAATTTAAAAAATGTACTTTTGAAGTGTATAACCCCTGTGAGTCACGGTAGAACAATCTCCCAGTGAGCAGGAGGGAAGGCTGGGGCTCTCAAAGGGAGCTGGGGTGGGTTGGATGCTCGCTAGTGGAAATGTGTCACCTCCAGGCTGCTTTGTTGGTGAATATATATAATTATATATGCAAAGTATATATATATATATATATATACCTTTACTTGCCAGGGCACAGCCACAGCAGACTTTTCTGTATTATTAAAAAATGGGGGTGGGGGAGGTCCTGCAAGTGCTACCTGGACTAGATAATGTAACACGGAGGACTTTGTCTAGGAATTTCAGTCTTTCCACAGGTGCTTTGGCTAGGGTCTAGGTAAAACTTAACCCATTGTGCCGAGGTATAGGTAAGATATCAGTTAACAAGAAGAACTGGAAAACTACTTTCTATAGAATCCTCCAGCCAGTCCCAAACAGCTCAGGCCCTACCTGGGAAGATTCCTTCAACACGCACATCAGCAAATCTTTCTAGAATGTTCCCTGTACCCATGGAGCGCTGGGGTGCAGTGATAAACATGACTGGTGAGGGACAGCATAAATAGTGTAGCTCCCCTTATGTGGTACTTGTTGATTTTTTTTTTTCTCTGCAGTCCCAGAAGCAATTGCATCTTTGAGTCTTTATGTCTCCATTCTCGTGAAATTCCCAGGCATACATGGAATGTTGCTAGGTGTTTAGTATTTGTGGGAACTTAAGAGTGAAAAGAGGAGGCAATGTTTTCAAAATGCTTGTCATTGTATGCAGCTTTCAGCCTACAACAAAACTGATGGATGTTTTAATGCCATGGACACCACAGCTACTCCATCAAAGCTCACAGAATACATTTCATCAAACCAGGGGCATACAGCCTGTAGTCTGTTGTCCACAATTGCCAGGCATCACCAGGACATGAGTGGTGGTGTTTGGGCATTTAAATGGCAAAAACACTAGAACATGCTTGTCTAGCATGGGAGAGGCCTTGGGTTCAGTCCTCAATTCTGCAAAAAAAAAAAAAAAAAAGAAGAAAAAGAAAAAAAAAGGGATGGAGTTGTTCTTTACCTACATTGACTGAATTTTAAACTTACCAGAACAGGAAATTCAGTAAAATTAAAAAAAAGGAAATTCCCATCTCTCAGGAGGCAAAGGCAGACACACAGCTATGAGTTTGAGGACAGCCTGGTAGCAATCTCTCAAATTTGAGACTAGCCTGGGCTTCATAGAGAGACTCTATCTTAAATAAACAAATAATCATTTGATGGTAGTTAGAATAAACTATTAGTTAATTAACATGGTGACTTATTCCATTTCTTCTGCTTTTTTTCACACCTTTCATTCTCCTACCAGACTTAAAGTTTTAGAACTTTGAAGGTTTTGGCAGTCCCAGAAAAAGAAAAAGTAGAAATGTACAAATGAGACTTTGCTCAATTATCGGTTTGCTATTCCAGGCATCCACTAGTGGTATATATTTTACGAAGATGGCTGGATACGTATCCTATCCCACAGATTTGTTGGAGTCTTTTGTTTTTGCTTTTACACAATCCTCCAGCAAGATGTAGGAGCTATATTCTTCCCCTTGGTGAGATCACCTAGCAGAGTGTGATGGAAGGAAGTGCTAGTGTATGGCCTCCAAACACAAGACATGTTCTCTTTTGTCACTGGGATCGCTTCCTCTAAGTCGTCAGACGCCGTACTTTAACAGAGGGACATTCAGGGCACCCTTGGGGGAGAGAGGCTCATCTGAAGAGAAACTGAGGCCCTGATGCAGTCACCATCATCTTGCTTGACATAGATGTGTCTCTTATGAGGTGGGCCTTCTGCCCCAATCCAGGCTTCAGAGGAGGGTGGCTCTAGCTAGCACATGACTGTGACTGCCCATGTGAGAACCCAGTGGAGCCATTGCTCAATTCCCAGCTAATGGAGGCCTGAAAGGGAATAGAAAGTATTGTTTTAGCTGGGTGGTGGTAGTGCACACCTTTAATTAATCCCAGCACTCAGGAGAGGTAGGCAGATCTCTGAGTTCGAGGCCAGCCTAGTCTACAAAGTAAATTCCAGGACAGCCAGGGCGGTTACACAGAGAAATTCTGTCTTGAAACATGCCTCCCACCCTCCAAAGTATTGTTTTAAACTACTAGGTTGAGGGATAGTTAATTATGGATGGAGCATCAGCTAACTTACACTTTCTCATGGTAATGGAGGTCTGTAAATGAACTTTTTAAGCTAACTGGCTTAAAGTAGGAGTAAAAAGAGTGTCCCTGGAGAGGTCAATGGCGGACCACTTTCACAAGCCTCACAAAGCAAATTTTCAGTGTTTACGTTGTAGGTCTCTGTCTGCCGGCCCTAGAGTCACGGACATCCTAGTGAGCACTTTGTTCCTCTGACCCTCACCTTGAAGTCCTGTTCATCCTCATGCAGCAAGTGTTGGTCGATAGAGCACTCCATCTCTGTGGACGAGCTGTCCTCTCTTTCTATCTCTGTGAAGTGGACTTCTGGACTGCTGGCCTCATGGCTGCTTCCGGGGGAGAGGTTCAATGCGTCTCCACCCTCTGCCTCAGCGGGCGATTTCAGATTCTCCTCTGGGACTAGAGCCAATAAATAGTTAGGTAACAACGTTCTGAGCAGATTACAAATACCATGCCATCATTGGTCGCAGTTGTTGATTTGAAGGAACTCTGAACTTAGAAATGTGAAGCTTAGGGCGGAAGGCGTGGCTTAGCTCCATCAACACCACGATAGGACAGCCAAGCCTCCCTGAGGCCCAGGGCCCCATCTCCAGTGCTGCCACCACCAAACCCAAAATGGCAAATTAATAAATAAAATAATATAGAAGTAATATAAATATATAGAAGTAAGAGGTGGCCCCATTTTAGGAAACTATCCTATATCCTTCTGATAGCCAAGACATTACCCACAGCCACCTGGGAACTAATGGGTATACTAGCATTTTGGTTGGTCAAAGTGGTACCCAAACTATATTGGCGTAGGCACCACCCCATCCCTCTCTATGAGTATCCACTTAATTCATTATAAAATGCATTGAACTTGGTGGAAAATGGGATTAAAACTCAGGCACAGCAATGCATGTTTGTAATGCCAGCCCTTGGGAGGCTGGAGCAGGAGGACTGTGAGTTTAAGGCTAGACTGTGCTATTTGGAGATACCTTAGAAAGAAGACAGAGTGTGGGAGAAAGGGGAAGGGAGGACAGGGAGGAGAGAGAGAGGGAGGGAGGAAAGGGGGGAGAGAGAGAGAGAGAAAGGAGGGAGGGAGGGAGGAAGGGAGGAAAGGAGAGAGGGAGGGAGGAAAGGAGGGAGGGAGGGACGGACGGAATAGAGAAAAGAGGTGAGAAAGAGAAGGGAAGAGTTGGCGGACAGGAGACCAGAGCAGGACAAGTGTTGTGGAAGGAGAGATGGAGAGGAGCAGAGGTGGATCTACTCTGGGCAGAGCTCCTGCATGTGTGGTGCCTGCCTGCAAAGGATGCTCAGGTTGCTGTGTTTTAAGGTGAGGAGAATCTCATCGCACGGAAACTGTACCTATGTCTATCTCTGGCAACTTCAAAGACACATCTTCAGGTGGCACTTGCTGGCCCACGGCTTGAGTCAGATACAGTTTCCTGAAAGAACAAATGGCGGATTGTCAGCCAATGAGTGCCACGCCGCATGCTCACCAGCACCTGTCTCTCTCCAGAGTGTGGAGACAAAGCAGAAAAGGGACCTCCCTGCTTCACAGGCGGCAGGAGCATAAGACAAACTACTCCAGAATTCTAAAGTGATAGTTTCTAGTGAGATGTGTAATGAGTACTGTGAGAATTCTGGGAGTCAGAAAGAAGCAGCCCTTGAGTGAGTTAGCCTTGGAGACAAGGAAGAGTTCCCAAGGAGATGAAATCTGAACAGTCTTGCAGAACCGGAAGTTCACTGTGGGAGGAGTCTGAAAGGAGGGGAAGTCCCAAAAGGGAAGTGAGAATGATATCAATTAGGTAACTGGATTTTCAGTAAGGAAGTCAGTAAGAAATGCTGGGGTGTAGCTCAGTATTAGAGGTCTTGCCTAGCATATATAAGGCCCTGGGTTATGGGAGGAGGGGGATGGTGGGGAAGAGGGAGAGTAGGAGAGGAAATGCATACAAGTTATTTAAAGCACATGTATGCAGAGTTTCCATACATTTGGAGTTGCAGCACATACTACTGTTAATGTTTTTGAATTCTTTATTTTTTAAAAATAAGTGTAAGAGTGTTTTGCCTCCATATATGTGCACCATGTGTACTCAGTAGCTTCAGACACCAGAACAGGGCATTGGATCCCCTGGCACTGGAGGTGCAGATGGTTGTGAGCCACTATGTGAGTGGACTTGAACCCACATCCTCTGGAAGAGCAGCCAGTACTCTTAACCTCTGGGCCATCTCTCCAGCCACAGTTCCCTTCTTTTTTGCCTGCTGTCATCTAGTGGAAGCACTGGAGAACAAAATCTTTCTTTTTCTCTGTAGCCCAGGTTGGCCTAGAATTATGTAGCCTATGCTGGCCTTGAATTTATGGCAATCCTCTTGTGTTAGCCTCCTGGGTACTGGGATTACAGGTGACACCTGGCTAAATCATCTTAAAACAAAACAAAAACCCCAACCAACTTTTTACAGGTATAATGTTTACAAAACACTTTCTAGAAACGTTAATGACTTTGACCCAGCTATTCAGAGAGCACTAGATGCTAACTGCTATGGCACCAGGGAGCATCTCACCTGGGTATTTTGAGATCCAAAAGTCTACAGTTAAACAGCTGGTCAATAAGCAACAAATTTTCCTCTTCTAGTTGTTGAACACAATTTTCCAGTCTTTCAACTTCCTTCCTGTGAGTCGAAATCTGTTTGCAGAAGAGCGGGGTGGGTATCAGTACTTACTGGCTTCATTTAGTAAAGTCTTCTGTAAGGACACTTGCCTGGGGGAAAAGCTACCATTTATTATTTATTGCTGGGTACTCCTGGTCCTTCTGTGGTTAAGAAGGACTAGTGGGGCTGTTTTCTAGGTCATAAACAGGCCTGGTAGGTAGTTATTACAGAGCAGAACTTGTCCTTTTCTACCCTTCGGAAGCATGGCTGAACATGAGCTAGAGGCAGAGATTGGAAGACGCAATTTATTTAGCAATGATATATTGGCCAGTGAACAGGGCTCTCTCTAAAGGTGATTATAAATAAGACAATGAAGACACACTGGAATAATTGATATATATGGTGGTATTTTTTTTTAATGCCTAAAAGCCCTTTCTACCAGCCTCTATATTAGGATTATGTTCTCTTTGAGCCTGGTGTCAGTTCTGAGAAATGCCATACATATGAAATATTTGCCAATTCATTTATTCTGTTGTACTAAACCCTTACTGTGTGCCGGAAAACATATAACAAATGATCAAGATACAAAAATAATTCAGCAATAGGCTCTCGTAGCCTTGTGGACAATGGTACAGTCCAAAGATAAGGTGATACAAACCTCAGTGGCCGCTGGGCAGCCAGCTGCTCTGGGACGAGGAAGATGCAGATGTTGGGATAATGAAAAACTGGCAGGAGAAACAACATCTGACCCACAACTTGAGAATGGAGTAGGGCTTCATGCAGATACAAGCAATGTCTCCTGGGAAGTAGGAACCTTTGCACATTTAGGTGGGAGTGGGGAGGGGTTGGGGACTGACTGACCAACTAAGAAAGAGACAAATACTGCCCAAGAATCTCTTTTTTATCCTCAAGGTGATGGCAAGTAACTGCCATGAACTCAGTTCATGTTTAATTTTAAGAAAAAAATTGAGTCAAATATGAACACAATTTGCCAATTTGGTTGATGGAGTTCCTATCAATCTTTTAAAGGCGTGTTTGGGACCGTCTGTCGAAAGAAGGCTGGCTGCCATGAGCATGCTCTGGCTTTAGAAGAGGCGTTCCTTTGTTTCCTACACTGTGATGTAAGGGTCTGGATGGACCTCGGTGAAACCAATGAAATCACCAATGACACCACCATTCATTCGGTAGATCCAGAAGCTGGTGAAAGATGGGCTGATCATCTGTAAGCCTCTGATTGTCCTCTTCTGGATTGGGTGGCCAAATAGCACCTTGACCTATGGGGTGGGCAGGCATATGGGCATAGGTAAGTGGAAGGGCATGCAGGGCCTGAATGTCATCAAAGAAGGGGAGGAGGCTGAGGATCCTGCTTGGACTGCTTAGGAGACATTGTGAGTCTAACAATGGCTGCCTCACATGTCACAGCCTGTATCTGAAGGTGGAGAGGAATATGTTCAAAACAAGAATACTTCCACGGAGCACATCTGCAGGCTTAAGACAGGCCAGGCCCACAAGAAGCTCCCGTGGACCAAACAGCAGGCCTAAGACTGAGGAAGGGCTTCCAGGCCAAGAAGAGCAACATTGAAAGACCAAGGAGCAAGAAACTAAGACAATGAAGCCCCTGTCTCCTGTCCACATAGTGCCTCGGCGTTGCCTTGCTGATTGATCACACGATCAGTCATTAGCGCAAAACAACCCTTTATCACATACAAAAAAAAAAAAAAAGAGAGAAAAGAAAGCTCATCAGAGGGAAGAACACATAGAAGTTACTAGATTGAGCCCTGAAGTGATTTCTCTGCCACCCCTAGAAGTGTGAGTTATATTATACAGGCGTCAACACCAGCAGATGTTCACGGAAGCAATCGAGGCACTAGAATTAGAACTAAGTATAAAATCAAGAGTGGTAGGCAGGTGGGAATAACAGAAGAATGGGAGGAAGTAGAAAGCTTCAAGGAAGTGAAAACAAAGAATGCAGAAGCTAAAACTCCTTCAGGCCAGGAGAAGTTAACGGCTTCTGCTTTGCTACCAAGAGTCAGGAGAAGTTAATAGCTTCTGCATTGTTACCAAGAGTCAGTGATAGTTGGGAACCTTAAAGTATCCATATTAGTCATTTATTAAATGTGTGGGTTCTTTCTTATATGGGAAAGCATCTGAGATGTCCTGGCTAGTTTTACACCAACACAACACAAGCTAGAGTCATCAAAAAGGAGAGAGCCTAAATTGAGAAGATGCCTCCATAAGATCAGGCTGCAAACCTGTAGGGCATTTTCTTAATTAGTGATTAATGTGGGAGGACCCAGCCCATTGTGAGTGGGGCCACCCTTGGGCTGGTGGTCTTGGGTTCTGTAAAAAAACAAGATGAGTAAGCCAGGAGGAGCAAGCCCATAAGCAGCACTCCTCCATGGACTTTGCATCAGCTCCTGCCTCCTCCAGGTTCCTGTCCTGCTTGAACTCCTGTCCTGACTTCCTTCGATAATGAACATCGGTATGGAAGTGTAAGCCAAATATACCCTGTCCTCACAAACTTGCCTTTGGTCATGGAGTTTCATCACAGCCATGATAACCCTAAGTAGGACAGAAATTGGTATCAGGATCTTAGGGTATTGCCGTGACAGACCTGACCATGTTGTTTTGGGAAAGATTGTGGAAGGACTTTGGAACTTTGAGCTAAAAAGCCATTGAATGTTCAAAGCTTGGTGATCTGTTCTATGGGAGCTTGAGAGATAAGAATGTTGAGAGTAAGGCAGGCGATGGAGGCTGGGCTTGTGAAGTTCCAGATGAAAATCTGAGAGCCATTTAAAGACTTCATTGCTGCTGTTGCATATTGTGAGTTAAGAATCTGTCCACTGGTTAGCTGGAGTCGAAGAATCAGCTGTGATTAACAAGAGACCAGAATTGCTAAAGTAAAACCCTTTGCTTTACTGAGAAGATAGATGCTGGTCAGCTGGAGCTGAGAAATTAGTGGCGATTAAGAAGAGACCAGGATCATTGAGATGAAGTCTTCTGGGAAGTGTTGGCTCAGAGCCAGCACAATATAGGACACAAAGGTGACTAAGACTCCACTCTTTCCCCCACAGGCATCTTCTAACCCAGTCACCAAGCCACTGCTCTCTATCACGGCTCAGACTGCTGGTGGCTTCGAGTTGGGAAGGAAGACAAGTGGTACTTTCTTGTCTCAAACATTTAAGTTCATAGTAAGCCAGTGGCCAGAGTCTAGGGTCTTAGATGTTCAGGAATGATTAACTTGATTACAAGTTTGAATGCCTTAAGGAAAGGTTTGTGTTTCAAAGGATGAGAAAGACATTGTAGAGGTTGTACACAGAGGAAAATATAGAACGTTGGGAAGAGGCCTGGCCGTGGGCTGGGCATGCATGGGCGGCAGCACACATGTTCTTCAGCTCTTCCCAAAGTTGGCGCCAGGAGAGCTTTGCAGGGCTTTAGGACAGCTTACGACATCACTTCCCTCTTCAGAGTGCTCAGTGATGTTCACAGCTATTGCTGACTCCCCTGGGCTTTTGAAATACCAGGCAAAGAAATGATCATATACATACTCAGATTTCTGGGGTAGGGAACATGAAAGGGAAGAAAAGTTTCCCCAAATACCTAAGAAATGTAGAGATCAGGACAATTCAAACTATTTCAGCCAGGGATCTAGGGGCCTGATTCAAAAGTATGCACTTGACCTTTTCTTCTGCAATGTCCATGTGAGCTCTATGCCTCTTTGAGATTATGAGCCTCTGGCTCCCCTTGTCTTGTTTCTCTGTGTTAAGGTGATGTAAATCATTTGGAAATTTCAGTTGTCTTCATTTTCCTAGTAAGCACACTGAGTGAAAACACACAACAAAACTAATGCACCAAGATGTCCTGCACCCTTCCCACATATCTATGCTCTGGGTTTTTTACTGAAAGAGAATGTAGTGGAGAGTTCTCAGAGGTCCCATCCTTAGCAGTGCTTTTCAAGCCATTATATGCCTTCCCCAAAGAAATGAATCAGCTTAATTGTTCTGTTTCTGGGTAACTCTTGAATGCAGTGATGAACTTATAGTAAGGAATAGTTTTCATTAATTTTTGAGCAAATTTAATCATGCCAAAATTAATATTTGTTGTAATAGAGGAATTAAACCTATTGAATTTCCTTAAAATGCTTTGCCCTTTATTTCTAAGCTTTATGATTCAATTAAACTTGACATTTTCCCTTTGATTGCCAGTGAATTATAAGAAATAAAAAAATGAAATGAAATCAAATACAATTTGAAGCTTCATTAGAAAGAGTCAGGCCACTAATACAGCCTTTGTTATCAGCCAAATATAGACTTTTTAAAAAGTCATTTCCCTTAAACCTAAGATCTGTGACATCTCATAAAATTAAGAGTTGAATGGTTATTATAATATCAATTTAACAAAAGTATAATAAATATTCCCTAACACTATAATTATTAACTGACTTGAGTTTTAAATTATTGAAACCTTGCTTTATTTATCTTTTTTTTTTTTTTTTTTTTTTTTTGAGATAAAATCTCAGGTGGCCTAAACTAGCCTTGAATTTGCTATAAGCCAAGAATGACCTTTAACTTCTGGTCCTCCTATCTCAAAGTCTTGTTTCTATGGTGATATTTTATTTGTGCTGAAATATGATTTTATTTGTATGTTAATAAACAGAGTTGCCTGGGGGTCAGAGCTTATAGCCAGCCATTTAGCAGAAGTCTGGCAGTGGTAGCACACGCCTTTAATCTGATCACATTGCTGGCAGAGTCTGTGTGTTCAAGGACATAGCCAGCTTGGTGACACACACCTTTAATCCAAGTACCAACCATAGAGACCTGGAGGTCTGTGTAGACAGGCAGTGACAAAGAAGTCATGTGGTTGGGTTTAGAACCAATGAGAAGGCAGAACAGAAAGTCAATAAAAAATACAGACACACAGGAAGTAGGTCTCTTTTCTCAGGGAAAGGACAGCAGCAGCTGGTAAGCTAAAGGCTATTTGCTAGTGCTCTGACCTCTTGGGCTTTCAACTATTTGGCTCCGTGTTTCTTATTTAA